ACATTAAATAAAGAATTTAATTATAGAATTGAAGTATTTAATTTGGCAAACACGTAAATAAATGAATTGAATTGTATATTGTACATTTATATAATTAGTTCATTTGTTTGTTTGTTTTTTTATTTTAATGTTTCACTTTTAGGCATATTATTTAGCTCATTTACTGTTCATTATTTTGCAATATATTAAATTAAGGAATTGATTTATTATCATTATTATATTGTACATTTATATATTTAGTTCATTACTTGTTTTTTGTATTGCTATGTTTACTTTTATTATTTTTTTGTATTGTTAGTGCTTGGCTGTTATTGGCCTTTTTGGCTGTTGCCAAGCACTCAAATAAATGAATTGAATTGAATTGAATTGAATTATCTTACTATTTTATTGTGATTTGACGGTAAACAAATATAATAATTATTTCACTGAAAGTGTCAAAAGTTTTCCACTTTCAAATGAGCTATTAATTATAAAAATTAAGTATTTGATCTTTTCCATTTGTGTCCCATTTTGAATCTAGAAATACAGTCTTTAAAATTACGAGAGAATTTGAAACTTTTTTATCACTTGCCAGTCTACAGTATATCATTGATGGATTGAAACACAACTGTCACTTCCCAGCTCCTGACCATAACTACATAACTCACCACCAAGCACAAATGGTAACTGCTACTGAAATTATTCACACACAACAGTATATCTGTATTTAACATCATGTTAAGTAATGGTAATTCTTATGCTTTCTGAACAAAAACTAGACAAAAAAAAAAGGGCCAAGGGATAAGGGATTCAGCAACTGCCTACATTACAACTTTCCAAGCGGTGTTTGGTGACAGAATAATAAGTTGTGGTTTATGGCCAACATATTCACCTGATCTTCCCCATGTGACTTTTATTTATGGGATAATTTGAAATACAAATTCTACAGAGCAAACCACGATACAGAAGAGTTAAAGGAAAACATTTGAGGAAAATTTTTGGAGGTTCCACAGGATCTAACCTATTAACCTATTAAATGGTAGAGAGGGTGCATGTGTGTACACAGGTATATTTTCAGAACAGATAAGTTGATTTTATTGTATCTTGGAGTAATTCTTGATTTGTATTGTTAGAATGTTGCAACACTTGCACAGTGAGCCATGCAGTTCCTTCCAGGAACTGGAAAGTGTTCTGGCTTATCACTGAATGCACTGTATTCAATAACAGTTTTATCTGAATTGTACATAAGGCTGCGGTCACACTGCAAGCGTATTCGCACGAATTAATTGTTGGGCGTTATCGAGCGAGTTCAGGCGAACTTATAGTGGTAGTACTGCAAGCGACATCGCGCGAACGTTTGTGGTGCGAGCCTTCAGTATGAAAATGGAGCTTGAGGAAGAGAACTGTTTGCCTAAGTTTTTAGTAGCTGGAAGAAACGCACGACGATGTTGGATGAATGATATTTACCAAGACAGAAGTGAAAGTGAATTTCACACAAGTTTTGATAAATTGCTTTCATGACTATTACAGGATGTCGTTGAATACATACCAGTACATATTAAATGCTACTGAGGAAGCAATAAAAAAGCAGAGTAATTTCCGAAACTGTATTTCACCATCAGAACGCTGCTGAATTCTTTGATAGATGAAAATTTCCTAATTGTGTGGGCTACATTGATAGGAAACATATCCGTTTGAAATGTCCAGAAAAATCGGGTCGCAGTTTTATAATTACATACAATTTTTTCCATTGTTTTGCAAGCTGTATGTAACGCAAACTATAAATTTGTGTGTGTTGATATTGGCTGGCACGGAAAACAGAGTGATGGAGGAACCTTCGCTGCATCAAGTTTTTACATATCCCTCGAAAATGGATCATTGAAATTGCCACAAAATGCAAATCTTCCTCAAACTGATGTGTCACTTCATGTTTTATTAGGTGATGACGCGTATCCTTTAAAGACTTATCTGATGAAACCATATTCAAAAAGAGCTTTATCAAGGGAAGAACACATGTATAATTACAGACTCTCCAGAGCACGGAGTGCCTTCGGTATAATTGCAGCCAATTACTCTGAACCAGATAAAGCTGATTTAATCGTAAAGTGCATATGCTTGTTACATAATAGTATTATTGAGAAGGAAAGTATTTATGATCCATCTATCACATCACATCGTCAACACCACAAAATGCAAGCATAATAAATATAAACAATCACTATCAAATAATAGGTCAGCACAACAGGCTTGTGACATCAGGGATGCATTTAAAAACTATTTAACAGTAGTGAAGATAAAATTATCCAACAGTTCAACGTTCACTAATTATCTGTGCCACACACAATCCCCTACTTCAACAAACATAAATGTAGAATTTGTACTGGTGTGGCAAGGAAGAGTTTGTAATAAACTTAAATTGCAATATTTAGTCACTAATTTTTTGCCATAACTTCCTTGAAACCTCTCTGTTGTGATAAGTTTTCATTTTTTGGTCCCACAAAGCCTTCTCATTGAACACAAGATGAATTAATTTTTCAGTATCCATCTCTTCACGCGAATGGAAACAAACATGTTTGAACAACGAGCGATACGCGCGATAACTTCGCTTGCAGTGTGACCAGTTACATACCTTGTAACGTGTTTGATAGTTCGGCCGTACTCGCGCGATATCGCTCGACCGTCAATTCGCGCAAATATGCTTGCAGTGTGACCGCATCCTAAGAATGGATACCATTGACTTTTGGATGAATATTTGAGTTTTGATCACTTTACATCACTCTATCCACTTAACACAGGTCTTGCAGTCCACAGCTTTTATGTATCAATTTCTCTTTGCACTACCGTCTAGCTATACAAAACATTACTCTTTCTGTACACTGAACTAATTTTTTGCCTTACAAATTTTGTTTTCTTCTGCATCTATATATAAATATTGACTTTCAGTGTTACATCTATACTTTAGGGCTATTTACAAGCAACCTGATCTATATATACTGGATGACCCACTTTCTGCAGTGGATGCCCATGTAGGTCGTCACCTGTTTGATGACTGTATCTGCAACTTCCTGCATGGTAAAACTCGCGTGCTGGTGACACACCAACTGCAGTATCTTCAGACAGTGGACAAAATAGTCATCCTTAATAATGTTAGTATCTGAAATCATTCATGATCTATAGTTACATCTGTAATATTCAGACTAATATATGAAGATGTTCATAAAAAAATAAATTTATATATATACAACAGACATTATGGTAAAATCTAACAGACCACAAAAATGTCTTCATTAAAAATGATTTATATGTGATGAATCTGTGGAAAAATGTGAAACAGAACTTAAAATGATGGAAAAATTGCTATCTTCTGGGTTATTGCGCCATATAGTCTGGTATATTTCCACCTATGTTTAAGAGGTTATACTGCCTCAGTCATCAGGGCGATAAATTTACAGTTGAACAGACATTGGAATGCACATGTCCATTGTGCAAACCTTTGATATGCCAGCTGGAATGACGAACAACATAGAGGCAGGCCATGAACAGCAATCAACGAGGCTCATTGAAACTGTGTTGATAATCAAGTAGAATTAACATGTTTCTTAGCAGGTAGTAGCAAACAAAATGCTGTTTCATGTGTGCAAGTGCAGGAGGTAATTTCTGATTCCAGATAATGATATATATGTGCTCACAGCAGGTTCCCTGAATTTTCATTGGGGATAAGAATGTGAAAGTGATGAATTCTTGTGCAACTTTGTCATACGATGAAGTTAAGACAGTGATGAAGATGTGGCTCCATTAATAAGGTGCACAGTTCTTTTGTGATAGAGTCCTGAACTACCTGATTGTTGGTGGAAATGTATGTACTGTAGAGGTGATTACATTGAGAAGAAGTTGTTTACAGAATAAATTTCAAGAACAGTACCAATGAAATATCTGTTACTGTTATGAGAAAGAAAAAATAGGAGGTATTACTTTTTAACATGCTTCCATATTATTTTTAACCAAAATAGTAAGGCATTAGTAATTCACAATAAAAGTAATATACTAACATTATGATTTCATGTATATATTGATGATTTCAGAATTTTGAATAATGCAGCCTGTAATACCTTTACCATTCATGCAGCCCAATATGTTTGAATTTCCCACCAATGTTTAAATACCAGAGTTTTGTTGAAAATAGTTTGTGTGTGAATACTGGTATTTTGTTCAAAACAGAACTTCGTAATTTTCTGTTGATGATGAAATAAGCTGTGTATCACTGGTGTTGACATGACTCTCTAAATGAGGTAGACTTTTTCCACTTTTATAATAAAGAGTGCTGGTGCTTTATGTAAATGTCAGTTTCCACATATGAATAATATATTTGTTTTTTAGGGTATGGTGGAAGCAACAGGCACATATGCTGAGCTGCACAACTCAGGTCTCAATTTTGCCAAGCAGCTTGGTCTGGAAACGGACACAGAAAACAATCAGGAGAAGCACCATAGTGACTCGAAACCTAGCATACCAAGTCATAGCAATTTACAACTTTCACTCCGCAGCACAAAGCGCCAGATCTCAGAGACATCAGAGCATGTGAGTATGTTTTCTGTTAAAAATGAGGAGCCATGATGGTATAGGGATAAGTCACTGGGCCCTGATTTTTATGATAATTTTAGCATTATGATTCCTGTTTGGATATACATGGCAGATTTTCTGTGCACAGATTAGAGTCTTCACTTCTGCTGCTTTTCATGCTTTCATGTGGAGTTATGTTCCCAGATTAATTAATAATTATTTTTAACCTATCTACTCTGGAATATTTAAATAAAGGTAAATAACCCAAGGGCAGAAAATATGGTGTTTTAAATTCACAAAAATGTGTATTTAGACTGAAATGGTTAAACTACTGCAATTTTAATCAAACTTCAAAATAATATTTGTAGGTAGGTCACAACTAACTAACTAACTAGTTGGATTACGGAACCCATAGGTTCATCACCGAATTAACCAAAGCCCTCCACCGGACCCTGTCCTGGGCCAACCAAATCCAGTCTCCTTCAACTCCTATCTCCCATAGATCCTGCCTGAGATTATCCTCCCATCTATGTCTAAGTCTCCCCAGCGGTCTCTTCCCCTCTGGCTTCACAACCAATACCCAGTGCACACCTCTTGTCCCATCCATGTGCACCACATGCCCCGCCCATTTCATTCTTCTTGACCTAATCACCATGACAGTACTGGGGGAAGAGTACAAATTTTTAAGCTCATCATTATGCAGTTTTCACAATACCCCATCCTCTTCTCTCCTAGGCCCAAATATCCTCCTCAACACCCTATTCTCAAACATCTGCAATCTGTGTTCCTCCCTCTGAGTGAGAGACCATGTTTCACACCCATACAAACCAACAAGCAAAATTATTTTTTAGTATACTTTAATTTTCAGGTTCTTAGAAATCAGACGGGAAGACAAAATATTTTGAACTGAGAAGTAGCAAGCATTTCCGGAATTTAGTTTCCTCCTAACTTCCTCATGAGTATCATTTTGATTTGTTATTATTGTTTCCAAATATTTTAACTTTGTCACACTTTCAAAGGATTTATTAGCCACCCTAAGATAATTTTGCCCGCCTGTCTTCTGATGACGAGATACTAACATGTACTTAGTTTTTTCTGAATTTACTTTTAGCCCCACCTTCGACTAGCTTCTAGTAAAACTTCTGTGTTCCTCTTTATTGTATTTTTGTCGTCACCCAGTGAATTAACATCTTGAGCATATACCAATAGCTGATGTATCCCATTCAATTGCAAACCCTCCTGCCTAACTTGGAATTTCCTGATGGCATTTTGTAACACAAAGTTAAAGACCAATGGAGACAAAGCATCTCATATATCAGAATATGTGCATGTGACTTATATTACCTGATTAATTCAGCTTTGAACACATCCCTTGTGATTCTGTGAATTGTTTTCCATAATGAATGGTTAAGTTGAGTACTTCACTCTGTGACCTGTGATCCGATATTTGCTGTAATTTATAGAAGAATAACTGTTAAGCTGTATGAACTAGAGGATAGTTTACTATAATGTGTTGAGGTTAATGAGCAGATTGATCAGTATACGAGGTGCGATCGGAAAGTTTTCAGACTGTGTCAATAGAGGGCGAACCGGATGTAGTACGAGCTTCTGCCGCTAGGGGGTGCGGCCTACGTTCATAGTGAATCAGTGTGCCAGCCGGCATCATCGAATTAGCATTTGTTTCTTAGTTACGGGCGTTTTGGTAGTGCATTACACCGACCCTCCTGCGATTTCGGAATGGTGTGTGCATCAAATTTTGCCAAAGACTCGCCAAAACGGCTACGGAAACCTATGAAATGCTAAAGCAAGCATTTGGGGAGTCCGCAATGGGTCGTGCACAAACTTTTGTGTGGCATTCACGTTTTAAAAATGGCCGAACCTCTGTCGATGATGACGAGCGTTCTGGACGACCATCTTCGAGCACAACGCCCGAAAATGTTACCAAGATTCGGCAGGCCATTCACGAAGAGCGACGTCGTACCATGAACGACTTGTGCGACATTGTTGGGACCTGTCAGCTGATTCTAAAGGAAGAACTCCACATGCGACGCATCCTGTCTGAGGACCAGAAGCAGAATCGACTTCTCGTTTGTCAGGAGCTAAAAGATCTTGCAAGAACCGACCCCAACTTCCTTCCTAAGCTCCGTGTGACTTCTTCCTCTTCCCAAAGATGAAAATTCAGCTAAAGGGAAGGAGATTTGAGACGATAGAAGAGATTCAGGCAGAATCGCAGATGGTGCTTGACAGGCTGACAAAGAAAGATTTCCAGGGATGCTTCCAGGCTTGGCAGCGGCGCTGGGATCGTTGTGTTCACTCCCAGGGGAACTACTTCGAGGGTGATGGATGAATTTAATACATGAGATAAGTGTACGGGTTTTTATACGAGTAGTCTGGAAACTTTCCGATCGCACCTCGTAGTAACCCTCCGAAGTAAATCTATTATAACAAGAAAGAGTCGGTAGTGATGAAGGTGCATCTGAAGTGAACATGTCATAGTGGTGCAAGAATGGCTTAAGGGCCACTGAAAAATTTTATCCTGTTGTAATCAGGAACCTTCTTGCTTTGTTCTTGCTCCTTTTTGTACAGACAGGTTTTTATTTAAAGATATATATAGTCTGGTCTCTGAGAAATAATAATTGTTACAAACTTATATAGGAGTGATGAATTGTGCCATACAGAGTTCACTGGAGGAACCTGAGCCCAAGCAGGTTGCAGAGATGCAAACAAGAGGCAGGGTTAAGTCTGGTGTGTACGGAGCATACTGTGCTGCCGGAGGAAACTGGTTCATCACATCGCTCATGCTTTCTGTATTCGTGCTGGCACAACTTGTTGTCAGTGTAGGTGACTACTGGATGTCCTTCTGGTATGTAAGCTATATTCGTGGTAATTACAATTTGTTTGTGGTGGTTTTAAAAGATAAAGGTAGACCCAGCTCAATCCAGTAAAAGCTCAAATGTAGCCTTGAGGTGTGTATTCCTTTCATGTTGATACTTCCAAATCATTTATACATTTTAGACAGACAGACACACACACACACACACACATATATATATATATATATATACACACACACACACACACATACATACATAGTGTCCGGATGAAAGGTATCCAAAATAAAAAATTTATATCTCGGAAACTAATACGTATCCGGTCTATGTCATCGTAAAGGAAAACTCTGAAAGTTTTTTTCATGCCCAGCTTAAGTGCATGCGCCAGCTGGTGACCTTCGGCGAGCTCAGTGACGATGTCGACACCACAGGAACAGGTTCAGTGCGTGTTGTGGCTAGTAGAGTTGTAATCTCTTATGGCTGTCCAGCATCATTTTAGAACGCAGTATGAACGTCAACCTCCTACACAGAAAAGCATTCGGTTCTGGGACAACAAACTGAGGACTACAGGTAGTCTGTTGCGTGTAAAATCTCCTGGAAAGACACGGACCTCTGAAGAAAATGTCAATCGCATTAGAGAGGCATTCCAGTGAAGTCTGCGCAAATCAATTCATGTTGCTAGCTTGCAGTTACAAATTCCATGTTCAACAGTGCACAATGTGCTACACAAAAGGCTCCACCTAAGAGCATACAAGATTCAAATGATTCATGCACTAAAACCGACTGACCAAGTAGCACGCACAAACTTCACTGTGGACATGCTAGAAAGAATTGACTCGTCACCCGATTTCCTCCGCCAAGTGTGCTTCTCGGACGAGGCAACGTTTCATGTCAATGGAGTTGTAAACAGGTACAACTGCAGGATTTGGGGCAGTCAAAATCCACATGTCACATTTGAGTTGGAGAGAGGCAGCCCCAAAGTGAAAGTGTGGGCCGGCTTAATGCACGACAAGTTGATTGGACCGTTTTTCTTTTCGGAAAAGACTGTGACCGGACGTTTGTACTTGGACATGCCGGAGCTGTATGTGCTGCCCCAATTACCACCTCAAACTATCCTCCAACAAGATGGGGCGCCGCCATATTTCTGCCACCATGTTAGGAATCACCTGGACAGAGAGATGGCTGGGAGATGGATCGGCAGAGGTGGACCAATCGCTTGGCCTCCTAGATCGCCATATTTAACCCCATTGGATATTTTCTTGTGGGGTTATGTGAAGAACATTGTCTACCAGGTTAAGATCAACGACCTTCAACACCTGAAAGCCTGCATAAGGGACGCTGTGGCTATAGTAACACCAAACATGCTTCAAGCAACGTGGAACGAGGTCGACTATCGTCTGGATATTTGTCATGCCACCAGGGGAGCCCACATTGAAATTTACTGAAAAAGTTTTATACTCAGAAAAAACTTTCAGAGTTTTCCTTTCTGATGACATAAACTGGATACGTATTTGACAATTAGTTTCCAAGATATAATTTTTTTATTTTGGATACCTTTCATCCGGACACTCTGTGTGTGTGTGTGTGTGTGTGTACACACACATTTAACCAACATGCCAAATTTCTTATCCTGTGTGCAGTGGTTAATCCATTACTAGCATCAAACCAAGTACTGCATGTATAATTCTCAGTTTTATTGTTTATTTTATTTATTGATTTCCATAAAATTGACTATAACATGAGTTAAATATTTTCCAAATATTTATCATTATGCAAAATTTAAGTATCTTACATTGAGTAGTGTTAATATTGGTGTCACCTTAAAAATCTGCATTGTCACCATGTTGGAATTGTTGCAGCTAGGGATTTAAAAAATAATGGAATTCCTTGTGATGGTCTTTCTACAGACTTTCTTGAAGCGTGGACAATTCATTCAAAACTTATGACACACACAGACTGTATTGCCCAGAATAAAATAGATCTAAATTCTCAATTAAAATACAAGACATTTGCTCAAGTTATTTTGGCACATCTTCCCCACATATATCACTTATTGGCCATGTTAAGGTGGTCTGTTTTGATTTAAATGTGGATGTTAGGCCATGTGCATGTGAACTTAGTATAAGTTTGAAAGGAATTGATGTACAGAATACTGGAAAATCCTGGTATTATGACTTGTTCAGTTTTAACTGTTTATCAGCAGGAGCACAGATCATCAGCACTTCTTACAATCAGTCTACAGTTCCCAGCAAGTAATAACTTAAGAAGCTACAGAAGGGACATGGTAATGCACTGATGTTGTGCCAGCAATACTGTCCTTTGATTACCTCAGCATAGATATTGCACAGGATGAACACAGATGACCTCAGAAGTTTCAATTTTTTATTTAAAAAACTAAACAGTGTACAGAAATGAAACTTATACCATGGGAATGATAACTTCAAAAACTATTTCGTAACATGCAGGAGAAGTGATGTAACTCCAACAATGATTATTATTCCTTGTCTTGCTAAAGGACAATCCTGATAGAGCAGGGGCCATTACCTTCTTTCCACCACATGGTTGTGTATATGTCAACCTGGTGCACATTCAAAAAAAATAGTACCATTATTTAATAATCACTTCTTTGTTGTATATTGGCCAGAGGATTATATGCACGAAGATTGCTGTCTTCTGGGTTGTTGTGCTGTGTAGTCTGGTAGATGTCAACATGAACCAGACTACACGGCGCAACAACCCAGAAGACAGCAATCTTCAGACTCACTGCTGTGAAAACCTCAAATCTTATGATTATATGCACCATTTTAGTACATTTTCTATACTTATGAATTTATTAAGCCCTCCCATGAATTAATTTTAAGCATCCTGGACAAAACACACATTATCAGTTAACTTGCATACACCTTAAAAACAGTAAGCATGTGGAAGTTCCTCTCTTCCCGTCATGTGACATTGCTAGAGGTGAATTATCCACCGTTCTGTTTATATCCAGATTGTTCTTGGGTGAGATGGTATAGGAGCATAACTGTCCGTAGAAAATGGTGACCCAATCCAAGAAAGTGAATTAAATTCACACATGAATGGTTTTTATGGAACTTCCTCCAAAAACCTCATTGGATAATGGCCACAGATTTTGTGGAATAGAACTCAGGCACACAGAATGCTTTTTCAGGTTGAATCATTATTTTACTGCCATGTCAACATTTGTGCGGCTGTCATGGAGATGCATCACTCCTCTGACAAGCTATGATAAGTTTATGAAGTTTATTTTCAATTCTATAAGTTTCATTTATGTATGTCATTTAGTTTTTGTTGTATTAATATATGAAACCACTCAAGTCATTTTTGTTCACTCTGTATGTACTGGCGCATATATCACAGTGGTGTTGCGTGCGCCTGTTTGATCACAATGCATGTGAATATGTTGTGGCAAGTTAATGAATAAGATGTAAGTGATCCTAAAGTCTGAGTTGTGTATTGGTTTTTATAAACATTTTTAAATGTTCTTTATAGGACTAATGTAGAAGAACGGAGATCTTTGGACATTAATGGAATTGCCTCCAACATAACTGGTTCTGTTATTAATTATACTGCTACACAATTCCTAGGCATGGACGTTGCCACTGTTACTCCAACAAATATCACTGAGTGGAACTGGATATTTAATACTACTATCACTCCAGTAAATGACACTGAGTGGAGTTGGATGCCCAGCACAGAAACTTGCATTTTTGTATACACAGGTCTTGTGATTGGCATTATTGTGCTTTCCCTGGCAAGTACATTTTTCTTCTTCTCAATGTGCATGACAGCTTCCATCAACCTTCATAATTCAATGTTCAGCAGTATCTCACGAGCTACAGTGTGGTTCTTCAATAACAATCCTTCAGGTAACTGAGAATTCCAATTCTTCTGCAGAAGTTTATTTGTTAGTGGAAAATGCTTCTAGTTATGCTCATTTTTGCTTCTGCCCTTCATACATTTTGTAGTATTCATTTATGAAGTTAGATCCAAGAGGTAGATTCTTCTGGTCCCAGTGATAGTATTGCAGCCAGAATGATGGCCATCAGAATGGACATACACATTAACCATTAATATTTAGCATTTATATCTCACTTAAGGAGAAATCTGTCACACGTGGTAGTTCAAGGTTCATTTGGGCTCATGTTTATTTATTTGTTTATTTATAGTTTATTTAACAATGCTGTCAGTGTCTCAGACATATAGCATTCATTAGGCTGTTATAACCTCCACATCCCCAATGGGTAAGCTTTAACAGAGGTAGAGGCTTTACTTTGTGAACAGGAAAATTTGAATGCAGATTTTATGTGATATCAAACTCTTTGAATTATTTAATCAGAGTCTTATCCAGATCTCTTCAGAGAAAAGAAATTTTTTTATTATACCCTTTTTCATGAAACGTTATACTTCTACTTTTAAGAAAATAAAATTCTAATGATCCACATTTAAAAACATTCTCCAAATGAAGGCTTCCTGTCCTCATTACATTACAGGCCAAATACTGAACCGTTTCACCAAGGATATGGGAGCAATTGATGAAGTATTGCCTCAGACAATGATGGACTGTGTGCAGGTAGGCAATTAACATTTCCTCATAACAATGAAAAAGTTCATACCACTTAGTGGAACATATCTATGGTTTTCATAAGACCAAAAATGTGAATGTGTTAACAGGAAACATAACAAAAGTGTGTGCTTTGTAGAACATGAATCTGAACCTCAAGACATTCACTTGAAAAATATAAACACCAGTGCTAATAGTCTCTGTTATGTCAAAGTTATAACTTTTAACCTTTATCTATGGATATAAGGGATGTAAATACCCATACCTTAGGGTTGCCAGCTGGACTGTAACTTCAGGGTTAATGGTTTAATATTATGCTTGTGCAATGCACAGCCATCTGAATTATGTATACGATATGACAGCTGATAAATTTCAGTACTTTTCTTAAGACGTTTGTTCATTTTATGAAGACTTGTAATTTCCAGGTACATGGTTTGAACCAGAAGGTGACTTTAATTTATCTCATTGCAGCGAACATTGATGATACTGGGTGTGATTGTAGTGGTTGCAGTGGTGAACTATTGGATGTTGATCCCAACAGTATTGATGCTGGTTCTATTTTTTATGCTCAGGATATACTATATTGCTACCTCACGCAGTATCAAGAGGCTTGAGGGTGTCAGTAAGTTGGTAGCACTTTTATGGTATACATTATACTTAACACCTGTTCTATGTACTGTTTACCAGTATAAGAATTATTGTTTCAAGCTTAGCTGTCTGTTTGTGCCACATATTTACTTTGCTGTTGTGAAGATGGTGATGTGGTTGTATTTTCTGTTTTTATTTATTTTATTATATTTGACCTTTTGTAGTTGTGTTCAGTATTTTACATAAATTTATTAATTAATTCTCTTTAGTTTATGTCCTTTTTCACTCAAAATAAGCTAATGAATAACTGCTCACTGGCATACATTCCGTTGGATGCTCAGTATATAAAAAAAATGCAAAAATCAAGAAAGTTTTTGTCAGTAGATTTTTAAAAATGCCTTTTTGTGATATGATTGATATCAAGTGGATAATTTCAGCCTATTCATTACTCGTCTTCTCTGGAGTTAGTATTTTGGCCTCTGCAGTCATCCGTTTTTGAATTCATATGAATTGACTAGTTGTCCATACACAGCACTTTTGGTATAACCCCACAGGAGAAAGTTGTGGGGCATGAAATCTGGCAGTCTTCGTGCCCGGGGTCTCAGAATTTGTCATATGGAAGTATTCTGCCATGTCTTCATTCTGCAGGATTTTCCTCAACATTTTGTATTTCTTGTTTTTCTCATATTTGGTGCATGTCTGTTGGATCTTTACTTCTTTGTATTAAATGATATTAAGTGTTATAACAAGACTTTGTCATCCATTAAACTGCAATCATAAGAAGTCTTCTGCCATGTAATGTTCAAGTTTTTGCAATTTTCCATAGTTCATTTTACTTAAATTTGTGTTTTAACTTGTTTACAGCTCGTAGCCCTGTTTTCTCCCATCTTAATGCATCACTGCAAGGTCTTACCACAATACGAGCTTTTTCTGCTGAAGCCTTACTGGAAAAGGAATTTGACACTCACCAGGTGAATGTACAATAAAAAAGTTTTCTTCTCATTACATGTTATTTATTTAAACTATTGTGTTACTAACACTTGAAATTTCCTTATATTGTAATCACTAAATACTGTATTTATTCTTTCTCAAAGACGCATCGTTTGCCAGTTAAGAAAAGATAATGTTGTCCTTGTATGCAATACTGTTTCAAGTCTGTTGTTAAGATTTAAGTGTCTATGTAACCAAGAAGAAAAAGCAAGTAGTGTCAGAATGCCTGAGTTCTGGTAGTATAAGAATAAGCAGTGTTCTAGTATTAGGATCATTTCTACGTGAAAGACTCACCATTTTTATATAGACAGCTTCAGTGGTGTTAGATTAAACAACATGTTATTTCTCAGCAGGTTTGAGATGAAGCAATGTGGATTTATTGAATGCAGCTGAAAACTCTCATAAATAATGTCACGTTCACTTCTAAATTATATGCTACATGACATATTCAGTATGAATGATACCATTGTTTCTGTTCAATTATAGATTTTGTTTAAATTGCTTGTTCATTCTTGTCTTGGTTCATTTGACAGTGCTTTTCTTAGCTGTATTGCATCTTCCTACCACATTTGTGGAGTGACTGAAGAAACCCATGAAAATCATTAGTTATGGTAGACAGTCTCCCAGCTGAGGGCTGGTCTAACAGTGTGCATTGTGGGTGTTCCTGCTCAAGGAAGTTAAATTGTGCAATTTATATTTTTGAGTGAGGAGTTAGAATGGTTAGGCAAATAATCTGAAACTTTTATTTGATACCCTGACACAATTTTCCTGTATTTATTATTGTCACAGCTTTTGTCATGGTTGTAACTATACAAAACTGTCTTTACTCTGTACTTCTTTTGTTTTCAGGATCTTCACTCAACTTCTCATTACCTGTTCATTGCAGCAAACCGAGCCTTTGGCTTGTGGTTGGATGGTCTTTGTGTGATATACATTGGCCTTGTTACTTTCAGCTTCCTCATGTTGAATGGAGGTATGTAAGTTATGCTAAATGCCTATCACCCCTTTAAAGAACCAGGCTCAGCTATAAATTACCGAAGTTCTGAAATTTGGTACACTTATGAAAGGCAATAAGAAATCCCAGAAAAATGTCAAATTTGAAGCCCAGAGACTGGCTATCCTGACTGATGATTTTGTGGTTTTCCTCAGGCCTCCTAGAAAGATGCTAGGATATTACTTTAAATTGTGTCACCGTTGCATCCTTCCACATACTGTCCGGTTTATCATTTATTAATAATTACCAAACTATGAAAGACATGAAAAAGGAGAGTTTAAATGTTAATTTTTAGGTTACATCTTCATAAAAATCAACATGTTCAATTTTTAAACAGCACAGTATGCCTGATATATATATTCAAGGAAAAATTAAAAATCTGTGGTGTAACAGCTCCAGAGAGCCAAAGCCGACTAGCTTGACTGCTGGCCTCACGTTCACATGCCTAAGCAGAGGTGAACGATCATCCAACCAGATACAGAGTGACGTGTGGTCAGCACGACGAACCCCCAGCCATTGCTAGCTTTCCTGACTGGATTACGCTACTCATTGTAGCTTCCCAATTTCCTCACGATGCTGGGTTGGCACCGGTCCCATACACTGGTCAAAAGCTCATGAGAAAATTTCTCCTCCCTCGAGACTCGAACCAGCGCACAATCCGTATCACCGGTCCGAAGCATGATGCCTCAGACGGCGTGGGACACTATGGTGTAAACTATCCATTTAAAAAAAAAATCTATGTCAAATCAGGAATGCATTTAAACATGTTATTATTACAATCCTAAGATAGCACTTATCTTCTGGAACATGTAGCTAGGGTTCACCTCCCACCATAACTATTGGGACTTAACCCTTTACTTTTTCCAGAATGACTCTAATTCCCAATCACATGACTTACACTAAGTGTGAAGTATTTAGCTGGGTAAAGCTGAATTCGACAAGAATGTCCAACTCCAATGTTCTGAGAATAATCCTACAAAGCACATGCAAAGTGGTAGTTCCGACTCATTTATTTGTTAAGCTGGTAGATACCTGCAACACCTAAGCAGGAGTGAATGAATAATACTGAAGTAGATTAGGAAATTCTTGAATAGCTGAGAAACCCTCAACTTCACAAGGACTCTAGAATTACTTACACCTGGAATTCAGTTGTGGCCTTCATTGCAACAACCTGAATTGTCTGATCTTACCCACGCATACGGCGCGGGACATATATTCAAGAAAGCCTTCTAAAAATAAGTGGAAAAGGGTAAACAGATTTGCTATAGTCACCTATTCAGAAAATATAATAGAAAATTAGCAGTAGGGTACTGTAAGAGTATGTTCACAGAAATGTATTTTGAAGTATATGTGAGAAAAAGAAGAGAACAGAAATTTATATTATTTGAATCCATCAAATTTCATTGGTTTCTCCCTGTCTCTGCTGGTCCCTGCATTTCTGTCACCCCACATCTTATTCAGGCTTCTGCTGCTACCACCTGTTTCTTAAACTACAAATGTGTGGCTTGCAGGTCATGTTGAGTCTCTTCTGTCTTGTTATGACACTTTGATGTCTTGTGTCAATTGCATTCCACTGTTGAACTCCTTGTTAAGGTACTGGGTGTGCTGTTAGACAACTGTTATGAAGCCTTTAAACTGTTTTTTTAGCAAATCTGTCATTTTTTCTTCAAATTTTATCTGGCCAAACCTTGTGGCAGTTACGTTATGTTTTAGTTCTTTTATGCTGCTTTCCATTTTATATTGACTGGTGCTCATCTTATTTAATTGCTTCATAATTATTTGCAATGTTTTATCCATTTTCAGTCCCACTTCTGATACCAGTTGTACTGATAATATTTAAAAACTAGCTGGATTCTGTGTTTGAAATGTGGGTTTATTAATCTCACAGTGATTACAGATAATTATGTTTATGATTACAGTGAAACCTCGATGCATCGTTTTCAGCGGGGGTGGGAAATAAAAACGATGAATGCGGGAAAACGATAGATGCGGGAAAGCATTAAAAATTTAAAAAAAACAATGTTTCTCTTTCAAAGTTACTTCTTTTTACCAAAAAAGTCTTTAATGGACAACTGGTTTGTCGAAACTTTACGTTTTAGACCAAACAGAGCACTTTCCACGTTCAAAATGTTTTCCTCGTCACGTTCACTAATATTAAGCGCATAAAAGAACAACTTCACTTTCGCCAATGCAGCGTGCGCTTCGGCAAAACTCGGCAAAGCTTCGGGCTCGCATTCGTCGTCTCCCTCTTCCTCACCACTCCAACCCCCTTTGCGGACAATAACAGGAAGAATGGAAATACTATTACTGCCGAACTCAACGAAACGTAGCTGTAGAAGACCCTGAAATATCACCCCTGCACCGCTGACCCTCATTCCAAAAGAATGTGCTGGTTGGGCGACATAACAGGTTACCGCTACTGTTTATTCCAAAAACATTGTGCGTCTTTCGGTATTAATTTATCTCAAAACCCAGCATTTTAATTTCTCAGAAACGATCATTGCGGGAAAATTGTGTGCTGGGACTAAGATTTTTTAAGGATCGATGCGATAAAACGATAGTTCGAGGAACGATAGAAGCGGGAAAATGTAACATTATTTTATATGGGATGTATTCGGGACCGAACAAAACGGACGATGCATCCGGGAAAACGATAGTTCCGGGAACGATGGATAGAGGTTTCACTGTATATTTCTTTACAGTTATAAATAACAAATCTTGCTCATTCAGTCGTCTGCATAGTTTCCTCATCAGTATTAGCTGTTGAAGTCTGAACACTGCGTCTTCACTCTATACACCAACTCAGACAACAATCTACTTATGCTACCCACATCCAGATTGCAAGTGAAATGTCTACAACCAATTTGCTGTATGTTTAAGGTCATAATACACAGAGAACAGTGGAATGGCTTAGCTTGGCCAAGAAAGTTCCCAGCCCTTTCCTTTCATTTAAGAGAATTCAGTATCCTTAGATTCCGAGAAATCTGTTCTGGAAGCAACTCAAAACATCACATGCGATAACAAGATGTGCACACAGCCCAGGTGATGCAACCTCACCCCCCAGCTTTTCATGGCTCGTGTCCACAACAGTATGTTCTTTATATACATATACAGTCTTATTCTTATTCTCCTCTCTCCTTTTTCTCCCCTCCCCCCTTAATGAGAATGTCATTTTATAAACTCCCAAAAGAAGTTTCATGGACACATGTACAACATATAAGTGATAAGTGAAATACTACATATTGCTTTATTATGGCAGTGGTTAACTTTTATCAGTACACAAATGGATCACTGTATAATTTAACCAAATGTATTAAGAACATGAATTATTCTGGCAGTTCTTCATGCACGTGATACGTAATGATGTACATAGAGTGTGAGTTTAATGAATTTTATACCTTCTAATCGAAAAGTTTATCCAGCATGTGTATTATTTGTTTGTATTTGGGAGGTACATATGAGTTTGAATTTCTCTTGGGCAATCAGCAGAATATGCCACAGGATTACATCCGTACCATTTTGCCATATATAATAACCAACCTTACATATCTTTCAGTGATACATAAACTACAGCTAATACATCATTCAAATGAAGTCTCCACAGGTGATCAGCTGTGTCAGGTTCATGTAAAAACCAATGTTTCAAATTTAGTCCCCACAAAGCTATAGATTCTACATAATACATAATTGTTAGATAACCTGTGAATTTTTGTTAACAACTTGTGACATTTCTTTTGTGTTATTTACTGCATCCTAAGTGTAGATCTATGTTTTTTGTGTGGTTGAATTTTAGTACAGTATGGTGGGGATGTGGGGCTTGCTATAACCCAGGCCATTGGCCTTACTGGAATGCTGCAGTGGGGCATACGGCAGATGGCCGAGATGGAAAATCAGATGACTTCAGTTGAACGCGTCTTAGAATACACTGCTGTTCAAAGTGAGCCTCCACTTGAGACGCCTCCTAGTAAGTTTCATAATTTGTTTGTCTAATAGACATTATGTTCCAGAGTTGGAGATGAACATGACATGGAAGCATTTTGATTAATATACATTTTAACATTTATACTGTGCTGTTTGCATATGACCAGATCCTTTGGCTAATTCTGAATATTTACAATGCTCCGTATACAGTTTTAAAATATAGCTGCAGAATTGTCTTGGAGATAAATACTAAAAAATATATATATATATATATATATATATGGCTCTTGGAGGTATGGAATCTGTTAGAAGAAAAATATATATTAATGTCAACATTGGAAGAAAGTGTGATAATGTGCTGCTTGGTCAGGCTGTTGTACACTTTGTGGGTCATTAACAAATGCATGTCGTGCAGTGGTGAAATGAATATTAACAGGGAAAACAGAAGCACTTGGTGGAAAAACTCTTGCAGTGCTGGTTCATCCACCGTGAATCTCACTTGGCATTACACAGGACTGAACTTACATCTCTGCAGTGAGATGCTAGCATCTAACTGCTTGAGCTGTGTTCTGTCTTAAGTTGTCACATACTCTTCAGAAATTATATCTGTAACTACTACAGTTTATAGATAAAAAGAAGTAATAACATATTAATAAATAGGATTTGAGGTTCTCATGGCAGTAAGTACAAAATGGCTGTCTTCTGGGTTATAGTGCCGAACAGTCTTGTAGAAGTTTACCAATGTTTAGACTCATTGTCTTGATGATTGAGGCAGCATGAACCTCTGAAATGTTGGTAAATTTCTACCAGACTACACAGCACTGTGACCCTCAGTCTTGTACTCCATTGATTGAACCTTTCTTTAGATGTTGTTCAAAGTCCCATAAGTTTTCCTTGACTTTATCAAAGGTAGGAGATTAAAATCGCTGTACTTTGAGACCGCATGATAAGTTTCAGTTCTGTATTTAATGGTTTAGTGGTATGATGCTATGACACATGTCCAGCTGGACTGTATAAGCTGTGACACATAGCTTTTAAAGTTTAATAAGTGTTCTTATCTCCCCCTAATTGCTGCTCAAAGCTCCAGTCAGTAGAGGACCCACTTGTGAAACAGAAAACAAAGCAGATAATTAGGATTTGAAGTTCTCAGTGGTGAGTATGAAGATGGCTATCTTCTGGGTTGTAGCATTGTGTAGTCTGGTAGTTCTACCAGACTACATGGTGTTACAACCCAAATATCAGCCATCAAAATAGATAATTGATTGTGTTTCCACAACTGCTCCATGCTGAATCTCATTGCCAATGCTAAGACTGACCTCATAGGTCCATCTGATATTGATTTAACTCTCTTGCCTTGACTTGCCTAGTCTGTCCCAACTACCTGGGTCTCCATTAATTATATAATTAAGCTGTTGGCCAATATTTTATAGTCAAGATTTTGTAAGTGTGTCTTGGCTGCCCTTGTTGCTTCCTAATCCAACATAATTTTTTCCTCATTGTCATGCCATTTTGCCAGTCTGTAATTAAACACTGACTGCTCTAGTTAAACTTCTGTACTAACATGATCTCTTCCTGTTTATCACAAAACCCTGGCATCTCTACCATAACACACATGTTAAAGTTTTCTGAATGCCCTCTCTGGTTGCTAAAAAAAAGGAATCTGACATTTGTTATTTGAATTTCAGAATTTTATAGTCTTTAAAGAACTGTAACATACTACAAAGTCTGGAAGCAGTTCGTATGATTTTCTTGTATACATATTGATCATAAAACATGGAACCACATGTCTGCAAATTTGCCACTTAACCAGTTACTTTAGTACTCCCAGAGAAGACATAAGAGAATATTTTCATGTGACACCAGATTTTGAATTAAAGTTTTATGAGAAGAATTTGTTTTGTCATTTTTTTAATTACAGGTAAAAAGCCTCCTAAAGACTGGCCAGCAATGGGTACAATAGTTTTTGATCGAGTTTTTCTTTCATACACTAATAATGAGCCACCTGTACTGAAGAATATCAGCTTCTCCATCAGGCCAGCTGAAAAGGTAAGGATAATGTGAAGTTATTAACCCTTTCATTGCCAGTCTAAAGGCTCCAGCAGATAGAAGATTCATACAATAAGTAATCTGTATGAAGTTGAAGTGTATACTGTGGTGTACTGCAGAAACACTGTGCAGTTTGTAAGAAACTCATAGCACTTGAATGCTTTAAAATCCTCTGTACCGTGATGATGGAGACAGAGCTAGTCTCCGAAACATTGGTTTTTGAGTCAGTATTGATATGGCTAATCACCTGAGAGGATTTTATAACATGATGCAATTTATTTTTACTCTCAGTTTAATGAGTTCATGTAGTATAAGTTTTAAACTAACTCATCAGATCTGTAGGGTAATTTCAAAGTATTCTCTTGTCTAATCTCTGGTTACTGTAATGAGCCCAGACTTTCTGTATGTTATTTGGAGAAACATTCTTATCTTGCAGCTTTACACGTGCTTGAAGTTTTATTTCCTTTTATACTGCTCTCACATTCACAACTTGTGTTTCACTTGCAGATAGGAATTGTGGGTCGCACTGGAGCAGGCAAATCTTCTCTCATCACAGCTTTGTTCCGCCTGGTTGATCCCTCTTCTGGACTTATACACATTGATGGAGTGAACACCATTCTAATTGGACTGCATGATCTGCGATCCAGGATCTCAATCATTCCACAAGAACCTGCATTGTTCTCTGGTTTACTAAGAGAGAACCTTGACCCATTTGGTGAGTTTCGGGATGCTGTGTTATGGGCTGCTCTAGCTGAGGTGGAGCTGAAGCAGGTTGTGGATGAGCTGCCTGCTGGACTGAACCACAGGGTGTCAGAGGGCGGGTCCAACTTCAGTGTGGGACAGCGCCAGCTTCTGTGTCTTGCACGTGCCATTATCAGAAACAATAAGATTTTGGTGCTAGATGAGGCCACAGCCAATGTGGACCCAAAGTGAGTGCAAGTACAATTACTGTCTGATCCAGTATAATGAATAATATTCTTGTATTTGATGATGTAATTCATATACTCTAATGCAAATACTTTTTTTCTGAAGTTCATAGGAAAGTTCCTAACTTGAGATTTCTGTGGTTTTTCACAGTTCCTCCAGTATAATTCAAAGGTAGTATTTTAAATTAGATATGTCCCACTTATGTCATATCTTTAGGAAATCTTAATTGTTGTTTCCCATGTGACAGAACTTCTGCAGCCAATGTATTATTGTTAATTGAACCAAGGGACAAACATACGTTACAGAACTGATAATTCCTACTGTACAATATTTTGTGTGTTCCCAGAATGTATGTTTTTCTTTTATTTACATCATTTGTAGTTCCACTAATTTTCCTTCTGTTCATTGGTTTTAATTTTCACAAAATACCTTTCATTTTATTTGTATATCCTGAGTTTTGCACCAAACTCTTATGTGACTGGGGCAGCATTTCTTTGTAGCTGTTGCCTTTAAATGTGATTTTTTCAAGTTAGTTGTTATTATTATTTAAATCTGTTCATAAAATCCGCTGCATGTGCTGTGTTTGTTTTAGTTGTATTTATAGTTCCTCACAACTGATTTTAACTTTCAACATGACACTGTATATTTACTATATATTTTTTACATTATTTGCTTTGCATTCAAGTTTAGGGTTAAGGTGAAGGCAAGTACTAATATATTTTTATCATTTCCTGAAATTTACATTTTGCTGAAATGTGCTCCACTTTCCATCAATCTGCAGAGAAATATAAGTAATGGGTTCCATTGTAGTCATTTTCTTGATAAGAGTAGCTTTTTCTTTGCCTGGTGTCTGATTGTGGTATCTGTTACTGTAGAACTGATGAACTGATACAGGCAACAATTCGTCACAAGTTCATCAACTGTACAGTGCTGACCATCGCCCATCGTCTGTGCACAGTTATTGATAGTAACCGGATTCTTGTTATGGATGCTGGATCTGTTGTGGTGAGTTTATAATTTTAACATCATTTAAACAAAGGAAGTTACATGTTGGTAAATGGAATAGGTTGTTACATTTTCACAAGTATTAGTAAATAATTTACTGGGTTCTTTGTCTGAAATCTGGATTTATTACTCCCATGATAATTACAAATAACTACCCTTGATGGCATTTCTTTACAATTATGAGTCCAAAATTTTGCTTCTTCATTCTTCCACTTAGATTTCATACATTCCGTGCTCCCACACATACTGTGTCTTCTCTTTGCTATCCACCACTCTCACCCTCCTACTCACCGACTGGCTTGTTGCCTGTGCCTGTCCCATAATTGTTTGAGAATTGTGTAGAAGTTTGCAGTTGTTTCTTGATATTTCCATCACAAGCAGCATTATAGTAAGATGTGCATACTTGGGTTCCATAGAAATACATTTTCCCCCAAAATTGTCTGCTATGTAATATATGTGTTAGTGATGTAGACCAGATGAGAGATACTTCATAATTTGTACTTTGAATAATCCTGCGTGTCTGATTAAGGATTAAGAGATGATGCATATGAGGCATTTGAAATAGTAATGGCAAACTCAACATTCATATTCTTTGATGTAATTTGAGAAAGATACACAAAAGAATGGAATTTGTAACAGATGTTATTGAAATTGCTGTAGAATTAAGTTAGGTAGAAGTAACTTGACCTGTGAAATTTGAGTGAATATGAGAGCAAACTTGACATGCAGAAAAGTACTGATAGGCAGCAAAATTGGTTTCTTATCATGAGCATGCATTCTTGAGCCACATGTTATAGATTTATTCATACTAGCTCATTTTTGGGAGTGATATAATGACTTAGATGTTCACAGACTTTGGAGGGTTTTCTCTTGCACCTTGGTTTTTTGCAGGTTTGCACTTACTGTTTGGAACGCCTCATATGAGAGAGGAATAGTGTGTATTACTACTTCAACTGCAACCAATTCAGTTTCCAGTCCTGCTGTTTTAGGATATGGAATGTTATCTTATATCCAGGTATATTAGAAATGTGCTAAAACTCCTTTGGGTGTTTTTAGGTGCATTTATAACTAAAAGTTTCAAAAGTGCACCTGTTAGCTCATCATGTTTATTCATCTGTCTTCATGACATTGCCATAGAATTGCTGAGTGGATTTTTGTTAAATTTTGTATTGTGATGTTTTACTAAGACACATTCAAAATTGTATTGAAATTGAACAACAATAACAGACCCTTGGTTCTAGCCTCCCGGCCACTGGTTGAAAGGCCTTGGAAATGGCCACAGTCCCAAGGTTATCACTAATTGGGCTGAGGACATTGATTGTAGGTTCAGGGTCATACATATTACAGCTGCCACACATCTTTTGTCAAAGGTTTTTGTCCAGGGTCAAGGACATATGCAAAGTGACTGCTGTAGGTCTAATGTCGTAGGTCAATGGTCCCAGGTCCAAGATGATTTGCCTTATGTCCAGGGTCATTCATCTTTGATCCAAGGTTATTAGTTTAGGCCAAAGATCTTTGGCCTGAGGGTCAAGGCCATTGGCATGATATCCAAGGAAATTTAGTCATATGACCCAGGAGTAAGGTCACTGGTCCAGGTGTAGGGTCTTAGCCACTCAAAACCATTTCCCCAGGTCCATGACCTTAGGCCCAAGGCTATTGGTTCTAGGTCCAAGTGCAAGGATCCAGACCATGTATCATCATTTGTCCTCAGTCCAGTGGCATTAGTTCCTATACCAAGGCCATTTGTCCTCTAAAACAAATGTCATTGACCATATTCCCAAAGCCACAGTGGTCTTATGTCCGTCATCCATCCAATGTACCTTCTGCAAGAACAACACTGAGTGCTTACTGAGTATCATTTGTGTCTATGTGAAGAAATTCATTCGTAGTCATCAAATTTGGACTCTTATCACATCTAGTTAATATTATCTTCATGTGTTAATATATAGTTTCATGAGCCTTATATTTTAGAGCAAGTATCTCATCTTGTTTGTCAGGTAGAGATACATAGCAAAAGACAGTATAGTAGAGAAATAATTTGTTGCAGCCCAATGTGAAGACTCTTGAACTTTTGTGATGAATTTATAAATTGAAATATAGAGATGAAACACACTAAAGCAGATTATATGAATACCAGAAAACCTGCATGTAAAGAAGAGGTTAATTTTGTTCACTGTTTTTTATCTTCCAGGAATTTGATCACCCTTATCTGCTGCTCAAGAATGAGAATGGTTACCTGTACCAAATGGTACAGCAGAGTGGACATGCCATGGCAGATTCTTTATTCAGAGCAGCACAAATGGTATGTAAGAAACTTAAATACTCAGCTCATTTTCATTAAGTATAAAATTTAAAAATAGTTCAGTAACATACATCACATTTAAATGCATTCCAATTCTGCATTAAATTGGTAATTGTTATATAAAACTGTAAGCACTCATTAGAATAATTTGTTTTTGATATTACACATTGACACTGTAAGTTATTCTCTTCTTTTCAGAATTTTGAGAGTTTGGACAAGAAGACATAAATTCACCAAAGAGGAAACTTATATAGTCCAAGCAATACAGTATTATTATTGAACTTCAATAGCCAGTAATAACTTACACACCTACACCTAGTGTGTTTGTCTTCATTAAGAAATTGTTAGTATGGAACTAAATATCCTAGGTAGCTATATGTCTTGGAGTTTGAAACCATTCATGAAGCACTGAAGTTTCCAGTACATTTACATAGTTATTAAAGTTTGTTGGCTGTTGGTACTTGTGTATATGAATATTCAAATAAATTTATATTAGCTGTGTGTATGTGTGTGCGCGCGCCCCCTCGTGCATATATGTATCAAAGCAGTGAAAATAATCTCATTATTCATTTGAGTTTTCTTTCCCTTTTTGGGTAAGTGGCTGAGCCATTTTAACTATATGAAATTTGTTTAGGTAAAGTATACCTTCCAACAATTTGCAGTCCTTATTGAGTGACAAACTGCTTCTAAAATTTACACACAAAATTCAGAAATAATATCACAATGTATTTAAAAACCAAATTTTTACTGAATTGTCTTCATTAATCTGTGTTTCTCCATTCCTTGCTTTCTTACATTCTGAGTCACTTAATAAAGGTGCACCATGTACATATATCTTCAGTGCAGATCCAAATTCCATTACATAATTCTCTTCAAGTATATGTATTAATCAAAACATGGTATAAAAGTTCTAATATCATCATCATCCTGCTCACCAGTATGCTACAAGAACCTGTATGAGGTTAACAGGACAAGATTGGGTAGGTACACATCAAAGTTGAGCAACATCCTGGCAAGACAAGAAATGGAGGGGGTTTTCTTGCTTCTGTAGACAAAACATGTTTTTGACAGAAGGGAGCAATACTTAGTCAGGACAATGCTAGATGGGTCACTGATTTTACTTTTCAGGTACAACAGGGGTGAACTTAATGGTGATGAGTTCATAGGTCGATGGTTGTCCTTGAAGGTGATGCCCTGTTGGATTTGTTAATGTATATTGTCCAGCTGTGGATATCATTCCATGATGATTGATACAGAGATGATCTCCAAAACATTAAAATTCCATTCTAAAATGATATGGCTGATCACTTAAGATACTTTTATCATATTTAAATCCATTCTCTAGTTGTGATTCCAGGCATGCCTTTGTGAGGGAATAAATTTTATCCAGTCTATTTTTGTCATATTTACAAAATATAAACACACAAAATATCAGTATAAATTTAAAAATTATATTGCTGGGCATGGGCTTATTTACCAACAGGTCATAAATATACTTTCTCCATTAACAATTCTAGGTTTTCATAACTTTTTTATGTTTAAGTCCCTGTTCATTAGAAACTTGTTTGTTACACTATAATGATAGTCATGATAAATGTAATATCTTTTCATCCAGATTTCCAGAATCTGATGCCATCCTTTTCTTTTCATATAAAATAAGAATCTTTTGTACATTAAAATATAAAAAATGGATTATTCTTTAGATTTTCTTTTTTTGGATAGGGTCTTGGCCATTTGAACAGTTCTCATGGCAGTGATGTTCATGTTGGACTTCTAGATTGTAATACTATGTGGACTTGTAGGTAGATGCCATTGTTTTGGATGAAAATTCTACCTCCATACTCAGTGGCAGAATGTTCCTCTGAAACATAGGTATCTACCTACAAATCCACATGGCATTACAGCCCAAAATCAATTGTACAAACTTATTTAGTTAAAATATGTGTTCCATTCTTCTAAAAGGGAAGTCTGATACAATAATGTAACCAATGTAAGAAATCAATCTTTCATTAATTTTTTGGCTTTAATCAGCTTTATTTTATTTCTTCCTCTCATATTTCCTAAAGTCACTTAATAAAGGTGTATCATATTGATGTTGCCAGCTTTCAAGTGCATCCTCAGCCAATTAGAGAAAGTTGCCTCTGACTTTGATTAAGATTAGAATGACCGATAGGCTATAGAATGGAAAAGGTAGCCAATGACCTTCAAAAATCATGATTTTGAGATGAGAAATTTGAAGTTGTTCATGAGGAACTCAGCATCAAACTTCCAGAGTATGTAGACGTGTCTGTCAGAGGTGTTGCTCTGATACTGAATTTTTATTTTGGGCACTGTTTTTAAAGTAAAACAAAGTGTAATCCTTTAGAACAAAAAAAATGTATGATTTTAGGTTTCCACGGCAGTGAGTCAGAAAATGGCTGTCTTCTGGGTTGTTGTGCTGTGTAGTCTGGTAGAAGTTTACCGACGTTTCAGAGTTGCTTGCTGTCTCCATTGCCCTTGTGCTACAATCCAGAAGACAGCCATATTCAAATATTGGAGTGTTAACATGTACAAACTTAGGCATTCTATTGTGTGTCAAACACAGCTCTTTATTTTTAAACACACTATGATATTACAATGTCTTTGGTTACATGTTTTCTCACTTCTTTTTGCATGACATGTGCTAGGAAATATGCTTACTGTAACACAAGAGTATATCTACATTTGCATGGACTATCAAATATTAAATATTTCTGAAAGTGTATAAAATATATATATCCAAGTAAGATTTGAGGTTTTCACAGCGGTGAGTATGAAGATTTCTGTCTTCTGGGTTGTTGCGCCGTGTAATCTGGTCGATGCTAACCAACGTTTCAGAGGTCGTACTACCTCCGTCATCAGGGCCTGATGATGGAGGCAGTATGACCTCTGAAACGTTGGTTAGCATTGACCAGACTACACAGCACAACAACCCAGAAGACGGAAATCTTCTATATATATCCAAGTTTAAAATTGCATATCCAAATTAACATGTTGCTATGCTGTGTGTAATGTGTGTGACCCTGAGCCTCCAATAACTGCTCCCATGCCCTCATCATCCATCCTTATACTCCCTTGGGCCAGACACAACCACCACTGTACCTTTATGTTATGGGTACTATATAAGGTATTAAATTACCATGATGATATTAACAGTTATCTTAACTATGAGAGTGTGTGGTGTGTCTAATATATAGATGAACAAAATCATCCCAGGCAAGACCATAGTGCACTGCAAACGGCAGTTGGGTAGTCAGTCATGATGGTGATGAGCTAGATGTTGAGATGCTGTGTAATGGAATATTGCAACTCCTGTTGTGCCTGGATTATCCATCCCCTATTCTTCCTTGCCTTGTGCCCAGCAAGATGCTCGGCCTCAGGTCCGAGGTTGCTGTCAGGCCAGTCTGGACATTGCTGGTTGTATCAATGGCAGAATGTCTAGGAACTTGTCCACTACCCACTGATTGTAAAGTGCAGTAAGTCAACATTCAGTGACAGTGATATAGCACTGGGCAGCATTTTTAGGTTAGGGCCAGTATGACAAGACATCTGGATGTAGTGCAAATCTCTGCAAAACGATTGACTTTGTGAGTGAATCTGTATACCAAGTAGGTGTACCACCACTTTTGAAAGTCACTGATGCACGTGTTAATACTTTGAACGAACACAAAACTTCAACTCAACCTACGCATGCAGAATGTTCCTATATATCACGATCCACATATGCAAGTAGCATCGCGTAACAAGTTGATATATAATAATGACTAATTAATGAATATCGATAAGTGTTGTATCGAAAGCGTTCATTCATTATTGTTATTTTGGTGCTCATTAACTGTGTTATCTATATTCATATATGCCTTCAACGGTCCTCAAATTAAGTGGGATATCCACGCGTTTAATTACCATATATTGTCAATAAAATCTTCTCAGGCAATCACGGTAAACAGTTAACGCGGTTACCGTAGTAACCGTAGTTCGATATTTGTCAGAGATAATGCGTAATTGTCTGGGTACGTCAACAGCTGTTGGAAGTAATATGAAGTTGAGTTATAAGTGTGTGGTGCATTAATTGTTAAAATACAATGGAATCACTGTACCATCAAACAAATAGACTTGTACAGGAGACGCAGCAATGTTTTGAAAAGCTGGAGAAAGTCAGTGACACAAATTCAGATGTAATTGAAAGAGAAATTCAAGCTAGAATAGACTCTATCACGAGGTGCGTGCAGTTGTGGTTTGTGACAGATGGTTTTGATATATGGTAAACTTATGTATATGTAATTTTCATATTGTTTTTCATTTCAGCAACTGTGAGAAAATGGACATGCTGAATTACAAAGAGCCCTTGAGTAGGCGGACAAATTGCAAACTACGAATTGAACATTTAAAATATGACAGGGTACATTTGCAGGTAAGACTGATATTCCACTTGATCTTGCGCATAACAAGCACAGTGAGGAATGATGTATGTGATTGTTAATTATATTTAATGATTCGTTGTAATTTACTTAAAATAACGTCGGTAAGTGAGTTATACGACGGTTGTAATGTATAGCGTTGTTAACATGGTATCAATACGAGGTTTTTCCTAATGTTGCAGCTCAGTGGTATCACTACTGCTTCGTATTAAAGAGGTCTTGGGTTCAGATCTCGGCCCGGAGACAGGCTCTTCTGTCTGTGGTTTATCTCAGTTGTACCATGAAGTTTCAGGGGTTACACCTTAAATTAGCCCATGACCACTTTCTTACATATCCTTTCTAATTCGTTGTTTGTTGGCCTGTCATCTGACACTATAGTCTTGTGTTAAGTAAATAATAAAATGGAGTTCTTGTTTTCCATAGATGATTTTACTTTTTTGATTGTGTATAATGTGTACATTAATGGTAAGGAGTTATTGTGTACTTATGTGTGTGATTCGGTCTGGTGTAATGTATTATTGTTTTCTTGGGATATGTTGTGTATTGCATTTATAGGTATTTTCTGAATGTAATGTACAGCACCTTTATTTTTTTTCTACATCCTGTTTAATATGATATGTGGAATGCATCTGAATGTTTTAACAATTTACTTCCCATCTCAGATTACAATATCTTGACTGTAACCAGTAATTAAATTTGGAATTTATTTAAGATCATTGGAAGAGGACTGGCAAGTGCCCTGCACATTTGAGATTGTTGGTTTATAATACCTTAACCTCTTGCCACCGTAAGGTCCCTCAGGAGACATAATTGTCATGTTTTATGGTCCAAGCACAGTGTTGATATTAATTGTCCAAGTTTTGTTAAATCATTTTGGTTCTTGTGCATTATTTTGCCACCACTAAAATGAAATGTACAAGAACTGGCCTCTTATCTTACCACCTTTTTACTGGGTATGAAAATTGTCATTGTAGTGATGTTGTGCATCAGTAAAGATATCTTATTATGTTCATTCTAGTTAAATTGAAAATTAATTAAATCCGTGGCGTAACAGCTCTAGAGAGCCAAAGCCAACTAGCTTGACTGCTGGCCTCACGTTCACATGCCTAAGCAGAGGTGAACAATCATCAAACCAGATATAGGGTGACGTGTGGTCAGCACGACGAACCCCCAGCCATTGCTAGCTTTCCTGACCGGATTACACTACTCATTGTAGCTCCCCAATTTCCTCACGATGCTGGGTTGGAACTGGTCAAAAGCTCGTGAGAAAATTTCTTCTCCCCCGAGACTCGAACCGGCCGCATTCCGTATCACCGGTCCAAAGCATGATGCCTCAGACCGTGCGGCTACGGCGCGGGACACCATGCTGGTTAAATACATATATTATAATTGACTAAACTGAAGTGCTTGAACAAAAGCAGATGAGCAAAGCATTTCACACAGAAAGAGGAGATGCTGACATTGATTGACTAGCATGTGCATGACCCCATGCCTTGCTGCAAACAATTGTTTGTGTGTTTCAGTACAATAAAACCTAAATTAGCCTAACCCAATTTAAATGTTCTTACTGACACACTTTTGTGATGATACAAAAAATCCACATGAAAAGTGTAGAAAATTTATACATTTGTTTTTATTGGTGGAGACATAACACACAAGAACTTTTTTCTCCCCTTGTAAAGTGATGGTTATTAAACAACTAGGAACTTTGATATTTATGCAACTCACCTCATATTGTTAGGGTACTCTAAGAGGTCTTGCTCATTGGGCTGGACTGTGATGGGACATCATAAATACATAGAGAACATTTGCTGAGGGATCAGTTAGGACATACTTAACCCCAGTTTTGTCTGAATGTAATCAGCTTTCTTCTGAATCACTCTCAACCAGTAGTTGCTCTGACAGCATGCCTTCTCTTCTACTACTGGTTAATGCCATTGTGTCAGCTCAATAGCTAATTGCATAGATTATTACGTAGTATCTTAAGGGCTTATGAGGTGTGTTGGTAAGAGGCAGCATTTTTGCCTCACTGTAATGAACTCTTCCATTCCATAATTGTGTAGTCTGCTGTTGTATATAGTGAGCTTGGATAGCTCAATTAGTAATGTTACTGGCCTTGAGCTAAATGACCAGGGTTCAGTTAATGGTAGACCCCAATATCCTTACCAGTTGTGAGACCTCTCCACTGGAAACAGTGGGCTCTTTCTTTGTAAGTAACTGGAATGTGAAACTGACTTCTATCTGGTGCCCCATGTCTTCGTGATGCTGTGCTTTAAGCACAGGCGCAACTTTGCCTTTACCCTACTCTAATATCATGTTGTTCTTGTGGATTGTATGTGATGCTGAAATTAATTGATTGGTATCTGCTGTATAATATGATTTGCATCATAATATAATTTCTAATCTTTTGAAGTTCATAAAATTGGACTAGTGTCTGACACACTGAAATCAATACATTTCATTATCTGTTTATAACACCATTTTTTTTATTAAATTTGCTTTAGGCAGCATTAGATACATTTAAAAATCGCAAATACCAGCGTCTGCAGGAGGAAAGGGAACGAGAAGCCCTGTTGAATCATCATTTCCAGCCTAACAACTACCAAGAGACCAGCATTCTTATGGATCAAAGTCAGATGTTCTACGTGCAGAAACATCAGAATTCCCTCCAGGTAACACTGCACACAGTACTTTTTAATTTGTAATTCCAGTTATTTTAAGTCATTCAATCCATGGCAGGCAGGACACAGTCAGGTAAATAAAGTTAAATAATATTACTTATTAACTTGTGGCCACATTATTAATTTACATTGTGCATCAGATGGGCCAAAAACTAGGCCTGAGTTAGGAATTTCTGTGGTAGTTTCTTTGTAGAAATTACATGTAAC